GGGTCAAACCGGGCTGCTCCTTGGAGGCAAGGATTCTGAGGCTTGACAAACTTTGGACATGTGAAGAGGGACATCATGCTTGGGAGGGTGGAGGGATGGCGCAGGAGGGGAAGACCCTCTATGAGGTGGATTGATTCAGTGACTGGGATAATTGGGATGGGTGTGTTGGAGACAGTGCGATTGGCACAGGACAGAGCAGAGTTTAGGGCTGTTGTACATAGAGTCGCTATGAGTCACAAACGACTTGACGGCACATAACAACAACAGTCTCTCAAGGCTGATGTTACAAACACTCTGTCAAACCATCTCTCTCTCTCTCTCTCTCTCTCTCTCTCTCTCTCTCTCTCTCTCTCTTCCTCTCTCCCTTTCTCTCTCTCTCCCCCCTCTCTGTCTCTCTCTCTCTCTCCCTGTCTGTCTCCCCCTCTCTGTCTCTCTCTCTCTCCCTGTCTGTCTCGCCCTCTCTCCCTTTCTCTTTCTGTCTCTCCCTTTCTCTCTCTCCCTCTCTGCCTTTCTCTCTCTCTCTCCCTCTCTGTTTCTGTCTCTCCTTCTCTGTCTCTCTCCCTTTCTCTCTCTCCCTCTCTGTCTCTCTCTGTGTCTCTCTCTCTCTCTTTCTTTCTCTCCCTCCCTCTCTCTCCCTTCCCCTCTCTCTCTCTCTTTCTCTCTCTCTCTCTGAATCCATCATCCATCTTGTTTATGGTCTTCGGACCCTCTTTCTCAGCATAATATCTTTTTCCCAAGAACCCTCACCCCTCTTGACAACAACTTAATATGAATCTCAAATTGAGATGCTGCTGTCATCGCCCACAGCCACGTCCTAATATCTCATCTCTCATTACATATCCATCCCCCTCACTCTCTTTCCCTTCTCTTTCTCTCACATTCTCTCCTCTGTCCCTCTATCATCTGTACTCCCTCCTCCCTGAGTCCTTTCCTCATGGTTCGAAAAGTCCCTCAAAATAAGAATTTCACACTAAGACCAACTCCAAGGCCTTCATGCCCACTGAAAACTCCTTAAAAGTGCTGAGAACGCATAGGGCACCCGTCCCTAGAGGATTGACATAGGCAGGAAATTGCAAGGGAAAGACATGTGTCACCTTTATTTCTCCCTGTGTACAGGTGAATCCAGTGACGTGCTGGGGGGCTACCAGCACAACTCCTACCTCTTAAGCCACTCACTACCTCTTTATGTCAGTTTATTAGGCTTAATAATGAAGGCTTAGTTGAGGAGAGTGTTTTATATTATAGGGTGTTGTAATCGCACTAGCGAAAGATAGGCTTTCTCCTCCCATGACATTTATTGCCTCTGAAATACTGCTACAGAATCCACCTATGAGACATCTCCAGCTTGACATTACACATCAGCAGTCATCAACAGTTGTATTTTAATTTTCATATCAACATCGGTATACCATAGTTACCTCAATTGAACATCATCATTTCTTCTGGGGACTTCCCTATTCACTCACTGGACAACGTTGACATCCTTATGAAGCAGGAAATAAGACTTGAGTTAAGAGAACCTGAGCTTTTTAATTATTATTAAATTTTATTCATTTTAATGAACATTTACAGAGATTTTGGGTTTCCATTCATTCACTGTTGCACTATTTTCTCTACCCTCCCCCCGACAGTTTGTTCCTCTTTTATTTTTTCCCCTTGAAAGTCTGTTTTAATTGTCCAGTTGCCACAGTGCTTGTCAAAGCCAGTTCTGATGAATCTCCTTTGTCAGTGTGTCCCTTGCCATTCCCTATCACTCCTCCCTGAGAGAGACTTCACCCTGATTCATAAGGAAAAGGGGATGGCGTATTCTCTTAGCTACTTCCTGCTGAAAAGGGACGCTGTGGGTTTCAGGGTGAAGATCTTCTCTCACTACTCCAAAGGGCCCCCTTGGCAATAGAAAACACATAGACTATTATGGAGATTGATTCTGGAATTTAGATGCACTGAGAACCTGAACTTTTTGGTTTTTTAAAATTTTTTTATCTTATTATGTGTGTGGAACCTGAGCTTTTAAGATTACATGTTTGCTTTTTGTCATCGTTTGCATTTTGGGGGTGTTGATTGTAGTCTTTGTGTTACATAGAGTCGAAGGGAAATGAAATCCATGGCGATATTTTTTATTGTCATGAATTTGAATTTTTTATTTTATTTTATTGTTTGGTGTGCGTGTACTGTCAAATCGGAAATGACTCATACAGGAGGAGATTGTCCCTCCTTTTCCAACAGAGCATCTGGGGGATTTGAACTGCGTGCCTCTGGGATTGCAGTGCAGCTTCTTGCCACTAGGCAATTTTGTTTTTTTTTTTAGGTCACTGTGTGGCTTAATCAGCCTAAGCCTTCCGTCTCTCCCGCAAGCATCAGCTGACTGGTCAGTTCTTAACTTTTGGATGACAGTTATAATCAAACTGGCTTGAGTATCTCCTTAGACAATTGAGTATATGTTGTTGTAAATCGTCAGGTCGACCAGTGACCTAGGATTTTCCGGGGCACAGAGCAGCTGGTGGATTCAAACCCTGTGCCTTTGGCTTGGCAGCCCCGCTCCTTACCATTAAACCACCAGAGCTCACTCTGTAATAAGTGTAATCATGTCAGGAGACACTAACACATAACAGACCCTAAAACGCAGTGACTGCTACAGTGGAGTTGATCTTAAACTTATTTTTTAAGTCAAATGTATACGTGTGAATTATCAAAAGGAAGATGCAACACACTGCCCTGTCAATGGGAAGCCAGATGTCCCTTGAGTATCTTCTAGAAGCCATGGAACCAGGAAAAGTGGCCGTCAACACAAAGCAGGGGTCATGGCTGAGTCCCTGAGGGGAAATTAAAGCTTTGAAAACTGAAGTTATACAGCTGACCGTCCACTGTGTCCTCAGACATTGTCAGTGGCACTGAAGGAGATGATTCCACTTTCTCCTGTGGATTTGAACCCTGTGCTTAATGCTTGACAGCACAGATTCTTAACCACTTGGCCACCAGAGCTACATTGCTGGATCAAGTTTATTCACGTGTCTTAATAGGTGATGTGTGATTTTCAAAACCCCACTGGCATGTTTTGACAAATTGCCATCTGCTGAGAGGCATGCATCCCCTTAAGAGACATTTCTGGGATAAAATCCCACCGTCAGGAATGCTTTGCCGGGACATTGTCCCTCAGCTCCAGAGACTCCCAGCCCCGTGTCTCCACCTCTCTTGACAGCATATTGGCTGTTCTTTTTGAAGATCCCATCCAGAACATAATTGAGTCACAACCTCTGAGTACGTACTGATGGACAAAAACTTCCAAAATGGGTTAACAATTTAAGATCCCTTGCTCAACTATGTTCTGAGACGGAGATCTGAAATAAGGTGGGATTATTTTTTTTTTTATTTATTTATTATTAAATTT